AATATGATATGGGACTTCCTTACAATTGGCATCTGCCCCGTGATCCAAGGGCACTTGTGTCAATGTGGCATAATGGTCAGGATGTCGAGGTAATACGCTGCACCGTCTTGGTTCGAGTTCCGATGGGGATGCTGATGAGGCCAGATGAGACGAGGTCGAAACTGCAGTCCAGCCTGGATGAAAATACCTTTTGGTAGCACGGCTATGTGAAATGCACTGGAAACGTGGGGTCAATTGATATGATTGTGGGAAAATTTATCTACCAGTCCTTCAACATCGTGTCTCAAGATATTTCGTGTTTTTGCCGATTTTTTTCGCTGATAAACCATCCCTTCTTGGGCAAATGTCATCTTTTCGTCTGCCTCGCAAAGTAGAGCTCATGTGAATGTGTAGGCGTATCGTATAAACCCGGAGTCAAGGGGCAGTTAAGCATTCTGCGGCCTAGATCTGGTGATCGGCCTTTCCTCCAATCGTCCGCCGGCAGTGAACATGTCGAATGATACTGAAGCGTGAATGATCCCAGAAAAGGGGCGGATAGAAAAATGATGCCCCGAAAATGGCCGACTGCCCTTTAGGCCATAATAAAATTCTGCCTTTTCTCCGGCTTGGCCGTCATCTGCCCAGACAACTGACTGTCGGCATGTGAGGGTGGATTGGATGTTCGCGACCGGAGCATCCAACCGTCTATCAACTAGAGACATGCTCGCATGTCTACGAGGCAGATTTATAGGCCACCTTAACGCATTCTGAGGCAGGAGGCAAGCCGACCTTCTGTTCACGCTTGCCAAGTTTGCTTCACCAGAGGGTGAGGCAGCATTTTACGAACTCGCTCCGACCCTCGATGTCCGACAGTCTCGTAGGTTCCCAAATCCCTCTCATCCCTTGCCTCCTAGACCGCCATGGTCACGAATGAATCTGGCAAATTTCCACATTTGAGTGCTCTTCGTAGCCCAACCAGTGGGACACAAAACCTGCCAGACTACCGAAGCGATTCAATGATCAATCCCACCAAAAGATGACGCTTAATTTATTGTTTATTCTACTCAGATGCTCAGGCAGCAGACCAATAGCACACACACACACACATGCACATATACATACATAAACTAGCACACACACACACACACA